GTAGTAGTAGTAGTAGTAGTAGTAAGTAGTCGTAGTAGTAGTATTAGTATTAGTAGTAACAGCATTAGTAGTAGTAGTAGTAGTAGTAGTAGTAGTAGTAGTAGTAGTAGTAGTAGTAGTAGTAGTAGTAGTAGTAGTAGTAGTAGTAGTAGTAGTACTCGTAGTAGAAGTAGTAGTAGTAATGGTAGTAGTAGCCCTGAGTCGCCGAAAGATCGTTCCAAGACGCCCAAGATGGCCTCCAGACGGCCGTAGCGCCAAGAAGCCGCGGGGAGACTCAGGAGGCCCTCCAAGAGCCTGAACAAGCAAAAACCTCCCAGGCATTCGTCAGCCCAGGGCCTCCTGGAACGCCCCGGCGCCCAATGAATTGGCGAGCTAAAAACGTGCGCCGAGCCCAAGCGGGAGCGCAACTTTGAGAAAATTTCGCTCGGCGCCCAAGCGAGAAGGTCATTTCATTCACTTCGAGCGGGGGGGGGGGGGGCCGCGCCCAATTCTTGCCATGCACTTTTGCGGGGTGGGCGACAAGCACAGCTATGTGGGCAAGCGGAAATCAGCATGGCATTGCTTCTGACAAGTAAGGTGGCCCCTCCCGCCTTGGGGTTGCCCCAGAAGTCCGCGCGCGATGTGCGCCGCGCCCCGTTCCTGCCACGCATTTCGCATCGTCGACGGAAGACAGGCCATGATGAAAGGCAAAACGGCAACTCTGCATTGTTTTTTACAGTCAGGATGGGAGGGCCCGCAGCCCGCATGGACGTCCGCGCGCGATGCGCGCCGCGTCCCATTCCTGCCACATATTTCGCACCGTCGGCGACAAGGCAGGCCATGCTGAGAGGAAAAAACGGAAACTTTGTATTGATTTTTTTAAACAGTCAGCAGGATGGGCGGGCCCAGATTGACGGCCGCGCGCGATGCGCGCCGCGTCCCATATGTGCGCAGCGTCCCATTGCTGCCACATATTTCGCACCGTCGGCGACAAGGCAGGCCATGCTGAGATGAAGAAGCGAAGACTTTGTATTGATTTTTTACAGTCATGATGGGCGGGCCCAAATTGACTGCCGCGGGCGATGCGCGCCGCTTCCCATTCCTGCCACGCTTTTCGCATCGTCGACGACCAGAAAGACGATGTTGAGAAGAAGAACGGCCACTTTGTATTTATTTTTTACCGTCCGGTTGGGAGGTCCCGGATTGGGCCGCTATCGGCCGGAATACGAGGTAGGTGGGGGTATAATAAGGAACAAGGATGTGGCCCCCTAAGGATGGCTCTTCAGCCCTTCGAGCCTCGAGCAGCACGGCCTGCGGGTCCGCCACGGACCCGTCGACGACCACGGCCACTGCACGCCGCCCCGCGCCCGCGGGAGGCGCTCCCGCCGCTGCCCGCTCTCTCTCGGCCGCGGCCCCCTCGCCGGGGCCCGCCTGGGCCGCCGCGGCCTCCCCCTCGGCGCCGGGGCCGGCGCCCTCCGGCGGCGGCGCTCCCGCCGCGCCCGCGGCCGCCGCCTCGCCGGCAGCGCCCGGCGCCGTCCGAAGGCGGCGCCCTGCGCTGCCGCGCCCGCGCCGCGGACGCGGCCGCGGGCCGTTGGCGCCTCGTCGGCGGCGCCGGCGCCGCGCGACGGCGGCGCCTGCGCGGCCGCCGCGGCCGCGGCCAGCGGCGGGCAGGCCGTCGGAGGGCGCCCCGCGCCCGTGCGCGTCGAGGGCGCCCTGTGCCGGGCCAGCGGCACGCGTCGTCGACCGGGGTCGTCGCCACCGCCGCCGTCGTCCGTCGCCGGTTGCCTTCGTCATCGCCGTCACTGTCGGCGTCGGCGTCGTCGTCGTCGTCGTCGTCGTCGTCGTCGTCGTCATCGCCGTCGTCGTCGTCGTCGTCGTCATCGCCGTCGTCGTCGTCGTCGTCGTCGGCGTCGTCGTCGTCGGCATTGTCGTTGCCGTCACCGTCGCCGTCGCCGTCGTCGTCGCCGTCAATGTTGCCGTCGCCGTCGCCGCCGCCGTCATCGCCGTTGTCGTTGCCGTCGCAGTCGCCGTCGCCGTCACCGTTGTCGTCGCCGTCGCCGTCTCCGCCGCCGTCACCGTCGCCGTCGCCGTCACCGTCGACGTTGACGCTCTCCTCCTCCTCCTCCTCCTCCTCCTCCTCCTCCTCCTCCTCCTGATTCTCCTCATCTATGCGCGCCTTCGCGGCCGGCGCTCCTTCCGCGTCCCCGGCGTTGCCTCGTCCTGCATGGCCGCTCGGGGCGGTCTCGGCGATCTTCTTCCTGAGCTTGATGATGTGGCCTGGGACCATGCCGACCTGAGCTGCCCATGCCCTGAGCTCTGGGCGTTGCAACTGTTTCGCACCAGGCGCTTTCGCCCGCTTCTGGGCACCGGGGCCATCACACATCGACCTGGCTTCCGGTCGTGATGTTTTACTATCTTGACCCGCAGGGTTGACACGGAGCCCAGCATACAGCTGGAACACGTAGGGCTGGCGGATGCGTGTGTCAAATCGTGAACCCACTTAGTGCCGAGCCAACACGCACCACCTTCCGAATGGACGGCTCGAGCACTGTACGTATTGCGTTTTTGTAGCACTGGCGCAGACCAGGGCAACTAAGGTCCCGACGTCGCGCATGTGGCTCTCCTCCATGTCCCTGACGACGTCCATGCAGTCGAAGCCGTGCTCCAGGAAGGGGCCCAGGTACCGGTCGAGGCCCGAGCTGGCCAAGAAGGCCTCCACCTCTGCCGCCTCTGGGCTGAGGGGGGCGGCGTCGCCTTCGGGCGGCGCGAACAAGGAATTGAGGGGACGAGGGGGCGGCAGTCTTGGAGGGGCAGGGGTCTCAGCACAGAGGGAGCAACAAACACAAACAAGCATCAACGGTCGGAGGTCCGCGCGGATCTCGAGGAGTGGGGGCCAGCGCGGACCCATGACACCCGCGCCGAGCCTCGAAAGTCTATAACTATGTTTGTGCAGGGTGCTCCTTCCTGGTGAAGAAGGGACCCGAGGCTGCCCAGATGGCTCCTGCAGTGGAGGCCTCCCTGATGGGGTCGGAGCAGAAGGGGTCGGACGACCGCGCCGCGTCGCCGATACATCGGCGGTGCGTCGGCGATACGCCGGCGATGCATCGTCGATGCACCGGCGATGCGTCGTCGACGTCGGCGCGACGCATCGGCGACGTCGACGCGAAGCAAAACGGGCTACACATCGAGCCGCATCGGCGATGCGTCGCCGATGCGGCGCGATCCCCCCGACCCCATGAGCTCCGACCCCATCTGGGAGGCCTGTACATATGGCGGACTTCGGAAACCCTGAACCCAAAAGCGTTTACAGTAAGCCTCTTGGGGGCACATTTGTTACTGCCGCTTCCGCTGGCTTCCGCCCGCGGAGGCGGCCTCGTTTTACTTCCGCCAGCCTTCCGCCGCCCTTCCGCCGAGGAAGAGACGACACCTCCTTCTATCCTCGAAGGCATGGCCGTCTTCGGAACGTCCCAAACGGCTCCTCAAGAGAACCTCTGACAGTCCCCTCCGCCTTCTCAGAGGCCCCCCCCTCCCGTCTCTCGCCCCCAGGGGCCGTTTTGGGGCCTCTTGGGGCCTGTCTCGTGGGCCTCTTGGAGGCCTCTTCGGGGCCTCTTCGGGGCCTCCTGGGAGTTTTCTTGGGGCCTCGTGGGGGCCTCGTGGGGCGGAACGCTCGATTTGTTGGTTATGTTTCCTCTCTTGGGCCCCTCCTGGGGGCCGTCTTGGGGCCCTCTTGCCCTGACCTTCCAGGAGGGCTGAAAAATAGCGCCAGGACATCGACTTCCTAATTCCTGTCGAGGTTTAAGGCAGTCCGGATGGGTTTATCATAGGTCTGGAGTGCTATTTTTTGGCACTCTGGAAGGTCAGGGTGGCTGCATCGTGGGGGCTTCGTGGGGGCTTCGTGGGGCCTCGCGGGAGTTTTCTTGGGGCCTCGTGGGGGCTTCGTGGGGCGGAACGCTCGACTTGTTGGCTCTGCTTCCTTTCTTGGGCCCCTCCTGGGAGGGGCCCTCTTGGATGCATCGACCTCCCTCCTCCCTCCTCCCTCCTCCCTCCTCCCTCCAAGAGGGCCTCCTCCCTCCTCCCTCCTCCCTCCTTCCTCCTCCCTCCTCCCTCCTCCCTCCAAGAGGGCCGTCCTGGGGCCCCACTTGGCTGCCCCGACCTCCTGCCGTGCGGGGCCCCCGAGAGGCCCCCGAGGCCCTCCCGCGGGGCGCGGCCGCGCTCCTCCTGGAGAGCCGGCAGCTCGCGCTGCCGGGGCCCGGCGCGCCCCCGCCCCCCCCCGAGGCCGAGGAGACCGCCAGCATCGGCTATACGTAAGAGGTGACCCTGGGTACTGCGGGATGACGATTGGTAGAAGACATGGGGGAGAACGATGAAAAACCATCGTTTTCTGCTGTTTCTGCACCCCGCTGCTGTTGACCCCGCTCCCTTCTCCTTGACCCCTTCCCTCCCAACCCTCCGCTTCGGCCCCGTCTGGCCCGTCGGCTATACGTGAGAGCGACCCTGGGTAAGAGTGACGACGACGACGACGAACACCACGACGACGACGACGACGACGACGACAACGACGAAGACGACGACGGCATCGGCGGCGGCGGCGTCGACGACGATAACGACGACGACCACCACCACCACGGCAGCCACGGCGTGCCCTCTCCCGGCACCCCTAACGACGACGACGACCCACCTTTTTTGTGGAGGGATTGCAGCCACTGGCTATACGTAAGAATGACCCTGGGTAAGAGTGACCTTTGGTACGCGACTTTGGGGGGGCCGCGGGGGGTACCAAACCTGGGCGCGCAAGCAGCGGCCGCTGCTTCGTTCTCGGCCATCTGGGGACCCATCTGTGCCCGCACCAAAGGTCACTCCGGCGAAGGGTCACTCTTACGTCTAGTCGAAACAGCCTCCCGCCGTGCGAGTAGGAGATCGACTAGAGAATCGATGCATCCCGGAATGGGCTTCCTCGCCGATGTCTGCGAGAAGAGCACGCAGCATGTTCGCAAGGTTGCAAACATTCTGCATCATTGTCGTCGCTTCGGCGCAAATTCGAATTCCGGGGTGAAGCAGTTGTGCAGTCGATCTCCGATTCGAGTCGCGATTGCGTGCGACATCGCTAAAAATCACGCCCGGAGCCCCAGACCCAAGTTTTCTGCGTCAGTCTTCTGGCCGGATCGATCTGTGAGGGTCCTGGGGCCCGAGAAAAGGATCGGGACGCCAGGATCTCAGGGAGTGTTTGTAAGTCCACGAACCTTCTGCCTCATTGTCCTCGTTTCGGCGAAAATTCAAAGTCTGGCGAAAAAAAACAATTCTGTGGTCCGTCTCCTGCCCGAGTCGTGCGTTGCGCCACGGCGCGGGCGAGACTGGGCCCCCCCTCCTCCTCTCCCCGAGGAGGCGCCCCTTGCTTGAAGGGGCCCTGGGACAGGCGAATACATGCACACAAGTACAACAAATCCAATATTTTCCAATCTTTTCGGGGTGTTTTTTGTCTTCCCCCCCCCCACTTCCCATATTTCCCCATATTTTCCGGGGAATCGGCGATGCATTGTGTCTGTGCGTTTTTGTCCCTCATGATTGCCGTGCGCAGGACGTAAAACAGGGCTAGGATCGGGATCAATCGCTCCAGAGCGTTCCGGAGCGCTCCCAGAGCGTTCCGGAACGCTCTGGAGCGGCCGCGGCGCCCGATACATCCTCCAAACCCGCCGATTCTCAAAGATTTCGAATTATCCCGATCTGATTTTGTCCCGATCTTCGCGTCGTTTTAAGGGCGCCCGTCGCCCGCGGGCGTGGCGGCCGCCGCGGCGGCGCCGCCCGCGGGCGCCCCCGCGGC